AATGTCTGGTTAGTTCAAATCTGACTGGTTAGTTCAAATCTGTATGTGAAATGCACATGTACCAACCTGCCACTGGCAGTGATGTCTTTGGATTTCCAATCCCTTTATCCCTGGCACACAACTCAGTTGCCTGAAAACCTTATTTGTTTGCTATTCCTTTCTTGACACTTTAAAACCCATTATGCCCTTGAGAACCCCTTAAGATTCTTCTACCAACCAGCCCTTTTTTCCTCTACCTCTGCTTCTACTCACAGCTTTTCTTCCTCCGTTCATTTGGGGGGGGGGACGAGGGAGAGGGAGAGATCCCCCCAGAAAAGAAGCAGGTGAAACTATCAAGTGTGCTTCTGCTTTCCAACTAGACCAATATACAACTAGACCATGTACAACAGCAGAACACAAATAGAAGCTACTAACAGTCCTTAGTACAGATGAGCACAAACCCGAAAATTCCAGTTTCATTCAGTTTCATTCATGTGGACTCTGAACCTGAACTGAACTGTAAACCAAACTGAGCAAAAAGTGCCCAAACTGAACTGGCTGGTTTGGGCTGCATTTCTCTCGGCCACAGCAACTGGGGAGCAAAACAGACAGGTTTAATGGCTCCCAGCCATTTAAACCTAATAGCTGATGGGCGAACCTGCCCAGCTGTTAGGTTTAGATGGCTGTGACTCTTCCGTTTCAGTCTAACAATGGGGCTGGTGCACCCGTCAGCTGTTAGGTTGAAATAAATGCAAGCCATTTCAGTGATCCCTCTTGCTCCCCACTTTATACTATGAGAAGCATGAATCTTCGAAAACCACATGGACAGTCATAGGGGTGTGACTGCATGAACTTTGGTTCAGGCAATTTTAGTAGCGAACTTAGAGTCATGGGCACGTTTGTGCCCATCCCTAGTCCTTACTACCACTGAAGGGACTCTGGAGCTGAACATAAACTGCACATTACTAGACAGAAATATTATGCAACTTGTGTTTACATTTGGATCTCATTCAATGATTTGTTTAATCCTGGTATCCATACATTGTTCATTTGTTTGCCAATATTTCTCTCAGTTTGGTGTAGTGGTTAAGTGTGTGGACTCTAATCTTGGAGAACAGGGTTTGATTCCCCACTCCTCCACTTGCACCTGCTGGGTGACCTTGGGCAAGCCATAGTTCTGGGTCAGCTGTTCTTGAAAAAAGAGCAGTTTCTGTCAGAGCGCTCTCAGCCCCACCTACCTCACAGGGTGTCTGTTATGGGGAGGGGAAGGGAAAGGAGTTTGTAAGCTGCTCTGAGACTCCTTTGGGTAGTGAAGGGTGGGGTTTAAATCCAATCTCTTCTTCTTCTTCAAGGTAAAAACTCTGGTGGTCTAATTCTTAAAATGTGTCTTTTCAAACCTTTGGTGGACTCAGAGATACTCCTATAATAGGGTTAACTAGGTCTCCTGCAATGCTGTTGCATGCAACATGATGTCACTTCCAGGGAAAACACAGAAATAACATCATGTGGCTGTAGGAATGCCAGAAACTTAATGGTTTACCATCACATTTCCAGTGGTTCCTAGAGTGAATTTGATGTCACACCCATTTCCCCCTGAAGTGATGTCATGGCACACACAATGATGCACCCGCCCAAGTCCCTGTTCCCTGTCTCCTGCTGGATGTTAGCCAATGGCTAACATCCATCTCATAATGAATACAACAGGATCTTATACAACACAGATCACGCCTTGCTGTTCTTTCAAACATTACGATTTCAGTAGAAAAATCATTTTGGGAAATGTTTATAAACCATGGATGCTCTGAGGAAATAAATAGAAATATGTCTTATTTAATATATTAATCATAATGTACACTTTTGGACACCACACTTCTTAAACTTTATCTCCATTCTTCACGCGTTCTTTCCCCACTGATTTGGCTGAAGAATAAAGTTATGACACCCAAACAGGAATAGTATGTGTAATCACAATCAAAGATTTGAAAAGGCCTTACAGTGAAAGTAATGGCCTAGAGCATAGTGTATAGTCGTCGGCCTGGAAGCACTTTACAGCTGTGAGAGATAGGAGGGGGGAAATGAGTACCTGAATTGTAGGCTTAGCGAAAATTCTGACAGATGTAAGGCACTGGGTGTCTTGGGAAGACAAGATGCTTTAAAGCAAAGTGTAGAAGGAAGATTACATGGAATACTTGCTATGAGGATTCCACTATGATTAACCTTAGTATGGAACACTTTTTTTTACCATGGGTGATACAAATCCAGATACAAAATACTAGAACTGATGGTCACCTAATGAATTAATGGGATGTAAATTCTAAAGACAGGGCTTCCTTTCACAACATATAATTAAGTTGTGAGATCTACTGTTACAGGATGCAGTGCACTAGCATAGGTGGCTCTAAAATGGCCTTAGACAAATTATTAGCGGATAACCTATCAATGGCTATTAATCACAGTGGCTAACTGAAACTTCTATGTTCAGGAGTAGTATACCAGTTGTGATTACCAGTTGCAGACGGATAACAGCAGAGGGAGGCTGGGTGTCTATCCACTATTCTTCAGACTTATTATTTCTGATTTATCTCATCCTCTAAAACTCTACTCAGTATTTACTGAATAAGATGAATATTAAAAGCACCTTGCTGAAACAGATCCAAGGGCATCTGGTAGTGGCAAAGAGTACCATCAAGTCACAACTGACTTACGGTGACTTCGCAGGTCTTCAAGGCAAAAGATGAACAGAGGTGGTTTGCCATTGCCTGCCTCTGTGTAGCAAACCAGGACTTCCTTGGCAGTCTCCCATCCGTGTACTAACCAGGGCTGTCCCTGCTTAGCTTCCAAGATCTGATGATACTGGACTAGCCAGGACCATCCAGGTCAGGGGAAAATGCATCTAGCTGATTAAAAACAATCAGAACACACTTCTGACAATTATAAAAACCAGATCTGGAACTGTACCTAATCTTATGCAGTTCAGAAATATCAAACAGTTATAGACCTATAGTCAGTGGATTCCTGCTACTGATCTGAATAGGTCAGAAAAGAATTCAGCAGGTTGTGAACTACACCAGTGGTGCCATAAAATCAGAAAACAGACTATCCAGTTTTCTTTTACTTTGTCAAATGTTGCTTACTGACTTAGAAAGGCTATACTGGGAGCAATTGAGATGCCAAACTCATACCTTAAGGAGAGGAATATTCTTATCAGTATTCAATCTAAAGCAAATAAATTAAAGAACATTAGAGATGCATGGGTAAGCAGGCAAACAAAATACAGAAATTCCCATATTATGGTTGCATGCACATCTTTAACTCTGGCTGCTTGTGCACATGTATTTCCAAACAGACTTTAATTACAGTATTTCTCAAACAATATTTTTCTGCAGCCTCAAAACCACATGCACAGAATTTTAGAGTGTTGTGCACTATTATTTGTATGCCAAACAATCCTTGCTGAAGTACCAAAAGCACAAAGTAATCCATTTTCACCCAGCACACTCTACAGCAATAACAAACATTTGCCGTTAGTCTGTTTGCAAGTCACCTACTTGTTCCCTACCAATGCCAATGGTTTGTATACGTGATAAGCCTAATGAACTAAGCAATTAAATGCTTCATTCCCTATTCAAACTGAAAGCCTGTTTTAACAGCAACAGACCTCACCTAACCATTTTTTTAATCCACTGTGATTGAAGGAGTTACCAGGTAGAAGGTGTGGCTATATTAGCAGATATATGGCACAAACACACACAGAGTGCTACAGCCTTCCATGCAATTGCATCCTTGGGGTGCACTGTCTGGGGCATATTTGCAAACCGAGAACTATGGAAGCAGCCAACACTCATGGTTTTCATTCAGATCCCAAATAATGTAGCTAGATAGCATTCAGATCCCAAATAATAGGCTACAAATCAGAGTCTGGAATATAGCAACAAGCTTTTGAACATTAATCCATTGAAAGAAAGGGGTGAAATGTACCGTTGTGCCAGAACATGCTTAAGCTAGCCACTGCTTAAGTCAATTGCAAAGAATAGGGCAGTGACAAAAGGCTGGAACTCTGGGATGGATGGATGGACAGATGGATGGATGGATGGATGGACAGATAGGATATTTATTATAAGGCTATGTTGCCTAAACTGCTGTACAATAATTAGCATAGAGTTGTGTATAATGAAAAAAGCAATCATTATTTTTTTTAAAAGATACAACAGCTTGAAACTATAGAATAGTTGTAAAAAAAAACCCCATTTCATTGATTTCCAAATGAACGTTCAGGTCCCAAGGGGACACTACATAAGTCTTAAAGGTAGACTACAAATATGCCATACAGGGCACCAGATGCGAGCAAAAAGAGGTTTCTGATCTCAGGCAAAGATCTGATGTTGAAATGTTGAAACAAAATCTGTCATCTTTATTTTGGGAAGTACTGATATCTTTGAGATATCATCTAGCCAAGCTTAACCCATTCGTTAGAATCAAGACTTGCTTGCCAGCTCCCACTGCCTAAACATCAGATATACCACTCAAAAATGTTATCTGTAGGCGTAGGGCTGCCATATCAGGAAATTCCTGGAGATTTGGTGTTGGATTCTAAGGATGAGCTGGGTTTAGAGAGGGGAGCAATTTGAGCAGGGTGTGATGTCACTGAATCCACCCTCCAAAGCAGCCATTTTCTTCAGGGAAATTGATTTCTGTAGTCTGGGGATCCACTGTAACTCTGGGAGATCTCCAGGCCCCACCTAGAAGTGGGTAACCCTAGTTATCTGTATGATTATAAGCCAGAACATAAGAGTCACTTGCACAGACAGAAATGTGACTATACCCATGGAGATGTTAGCAATCGTAGCATTCATGGCATTTGTAATGTGAAGCTTGTAGAAATCAATGGGATTTACTTCCAACAGCCTGCTCCAGAACAAATGTAAATTCTCCTATTATATGCTACATTAACACAATAATATCCCATGCATGTTTTACATCAGACATATCTATGCCACATGAAGTCTGTTCAGATTTCTCACCTTGCCTACGTAGAGAGGATCAGTCCCCATGTATTCCTCCAGCACAAAGAACTGATTCCACACCCAACTGCGCTTGGTTCGTGACCTCCCAGGCTTTGACCTGGATCTTGAGAGTTCAGTTAGATTCATCCCAGAAAGACAGAGGAAAAGAGCTATTATCTGCAAAAAATGGCAGAACTCCACTTTGCCCAACTTCATTTTCTTCTTCTCCCTGTGTAAGGAAAAAAATAAATAAAAAACCTTGACAAGAGAGTAGGCACGGTTCCAGTTGGCTTAGTAGCTGTAGCCTCCAGTGGGTGTCAGCTGGGAGTCCAGAGATAATAATTTGTGGAGTGTTCGATTTAAAAAGGTCTCCGCTGCTGAATAGCCTTCACAAGAGAAATGGTATAATACGTACCTATAAGGGGGAACAGACAAGAATTGTTGTCAGAATTATTTCTTGTTAAATTACATTTCTTTCAGGTTTCATTTGCTGTGAATCGCACTTCACTAAACTTTTCATTTCATCCATCACATGAAAGCAAAAAGTAATACTTTGACATTCTGAGTGCTTTTCTTTGATTATGTTACTACCACTGATTGATATTTGTGTGTTGTGTGTGTGAAATTTTATTTATTGTTACTAGGAAAGGTCTTGTAAGTTTGATGCCCTGTATTTATATTCTCTCATGTATTTATATTCTCCTTGGCAATCTGAACTGCGAATTTGTAAATAACACATTGCATGTGCAATGAACTGTATCATCCCGCAGCAAACAGCTTGTCTTCTCTGATCTCACAGGAGGCCTTTGCAGGCAGAAGTACCAGAAGCCTTCTGCCTGCTATTAGTCACAAGTAGCCTAAGTCACTTTACACTTGCCCCTGAAGGCCCCTGAGATAGTGAATTCTCCTTTCTACATGGTATAGAACAGCAAGGCTTCGAATCAAGGCTGTAGAAGTTGCTTGGAGATTACAGGCACCCAAGAGGAGGAGAGGGGATGGAATCACTAAGTTAAATTTAAGTAAGAACATAAGAGAAGCCAATGCTGGATCAGGCCAGTGGCCCATCCAGTCCAACACTCTGGCACACAGTAGCCAAAAATATCAGGTGCCATTAGGAGGTACACCAATTCAAGCAAATCTAGGAAATGACTCTGCCCAACTCCTGTTAGCCTGCCATACTAGGTTACGTGCAGTGCGAACTTAACTAGTAACATTACAATCCTAACTAGAAATCAACGGTTTTAGGATTGCTCTGGTAGACCTGTGTGAAATAGTATTAAGAAACTATTCTCTATTTAGTTCTGAAACTGTATTCCGTTTACCAATCCATAAGAAAAAGGCGATGATGTTTGTTAATAAGTCATGGCAGTAGGAATTTGAGTGTGTGTACTTAAATCCTTGATCCATACTCCCTACTCCTTTCTGAAAGTAGCCCTTTCACAAGACTAGTTCCTGCCTTCTGGCATATACTTTTTAGGTGGGTTATGCTAACAGCTGCATTAGCACAAGCATTCTCAAAGTAGCATGCCACAACATTGTTATCACTATGTTACGGCAATGTTACAACTAGAGAGATGGGCAGATGTGTTTAGAATTTGGGAGCTATACTATGAATTTCAGTGCAACAAGAAATGCAGTCCTAAATGTCAGTGCCAAGAAGTAAATCCCGTCAAATCACTGGGTCTTATTTCTGTGATAAAAAGTTAAGGATCAGGTGGTCTGCGGCTCCAGCACCTAGGTGAAGGGCCGAGGTGAGCACCCAGGATGAAGGTTCTGCAAAACCCCACAAATTCTATACTACTTTAATGTTTTTTCCTAGTTGAAATAACACACATACACACAATTTTTCAGAAAGAGTGGATAAAAATTGGCCACAACTTTATTGCTTACAGCTGTAGTAAGCCTTGGCTCAGCATGGGACAAGGATCCTACTCATCAACTGATCTGCCATCAGTCAATGCTCCATTGGTCACCTTGGGATGGCAGGTTTTGTATCCCACTAGGGCGGAAGCCCAGAGGTGGTCTCCCCTGCCACTTGAGTGTGAGGGTAATTCCCCGGACACGCCCCTGGGCTCAGTATATCAGTCGCCCCTCATGCCAAGACCCCTTAAAGGGATCCCCACACTCAGAAAATGGGCACGTAGGCCATTTTTCCTGACAATGGATCCAGCCCCATGTTGACACGGCCAAGTTGTGATAAGAGAAACAAATATACAAAAAACCGCATGCAGCCCCTGTAAAATACCTATCTAAAGGGCTGGGAGGGTGGGCCAAGCTGTCCAACAGGTAAAGATGGCGATCTGAGATGGTGTGGTGTCCTAAATAGCCATCAGGCGCCCCCACCCCCCAAGTCCCCTCCAAGCCAGCTCATAGGGTCAGTGCCATATGAGGTGGGTTCTAGCTTCCCACGTTTGACTAAGACCTCCCCCTCTACCTGGCAAAGGAGGGGAAGGGGATCCATGGCTGCTCCCTGCTCTCACCCTTCCCTGCAGCTCCACAAACAGGTCCCAGGTGGGTCCGGGTCCCAGCTTGTTATCTATAAGTGGTGTGCTGATTTTTTAGTGCATTCTTAAATGGAGTGGACTTGGGCCAGGGTGACCTGGGTTAAAATTCCCACTCAGTCATGGACAGCATTTAAGTCTTAGTCTATTAGTCTATTATCCCATACTCATCATTTTTCAACCTCAACCACTACACAGGATTATGGAAATAATAAAATGGGGGGAGGGTGCTACACGTATAAAGTCCTGAGCCTTTGGACAGGAAGGTAGGGTACAAAGATGACAGACTTTCTATATCTTGGAGCAGTTCCATTAATGTTAGCAACAGGATGATACATGACTATAATATTTGTTGGGTAATATGTGAATGCCTGCAAATGAGAAACAACTCCAAATACATGAAATCTAAGTTACTATCTTGTCTTATTTAAAGGTGCCCACCATGTATTCGTTTTTGTCCCTGACTCAAAACAGGCATCATCTTTTGTTGCAATTTGGCTAACACTTTCTTCATTCATCTCTCATGATTTATTCCCTGTACTTTCTTTGCCAATTCCTTTTATAATTAGTTTGCTCTATCAAAATTAAGAATCTATGCAGCTAAAAATAGGGATTTACAACGGTCACAAAGATAATTTTATTTTAGAAGTCCATTGCAATGTTGGCATGAACCTGGATGATTAGGGAGAGAGAGAGAGAAACAATGAAACTTATGTTGCAGCATATCCTTTCTGTATCTGATAGGGGGATCCTTATATTTCAAGTGTTAGTAGACTTTATTAGGAACACAGGGAAATGCTTCACAAGAGTCAGATTTGGGGACAGAAAATTGATTTAAGCCATGAAGAAATGCTCTGCATTGTTTAAGCATCAACTGAACATTAAGAGAGTTTTATTTTTATTTTTTAAATTATACCCTTATATATTGCATTCTGGGGTTTGATCATCACCTTTGAATAATGTAGTTCTGGGTAGCAGGCCAAGCTCAGAAGACAAAGCCTTTGGGTATTAAAGTGCAGCTTACATGGCAGGCATATTGTAGGCTTGTTTTAACTCTATGTAAACATTCTTCCCTCTTGTGGGAAGGCTTCCTCCTCCTTGTCAGAGCAAGATGTCAAGCAGTCAAGACAACTTAGAAAAAGTGTCAAATGCTAACAAAGAAATGAAAGAGAAATTAAAGCAGATTCCAGGTCACATATACAACAGGGGGAAAAGAACACCTATGTTTTAAGAAACCTCAAAAGAAATGTGAATCTGTCTTTGTCAGCTTCCATATTCCTGGATCAACCATGAAACATCCTGGATAATAAATTAATTTGCCTCATGTATTTAATAACTGTCATCAGCCCTAAAAGCACACTTATGCTAACAACCACTGGCACAGTTCTTTCAGCAATGCAGTTACTGTGCAATATTCTCCAAAATGTACCCTTAGGGCAAACCATAATGCAAATAAAAGCATTTTTGATTACAGAATCCATTTAATGCCTTTTTATAGTAATCCCTTCTGAGGTATTTCCTAGCACCAGAAAAGTCTCTGTTTAAGAAATATGCAGGATAAACCACAAACTTTCAATGTTAACTGAGCAGCAGCAATTTCAATGTCAGGTTCACTCCCTTAAATACTGATTTTCACTTTCTTCTGGCATGAAAAGAAAATATCTTCTATGTACGACCTCAATGACCTCTAAAACACCACTTGGTTTCAGGATACACTGGATCAATTTCTTCTTGTAGTTACTATAATAAACCATTAGCTACATTCAACTATTAGTGATCACAAAAATGCATATGTATGATTTTTCCTTTCTTCAATTTTCATACGATCAAACATACATAATAACCAGAACTGAAACTCTCTGTGAAAATGAGGTTGTGCATTATCCTGCTGATCAGATAACTTCAGCAGTGATTGATGAATTTGCTCCTTTACAGCTAACATCACAAGCACTACATGATAAATCACAATGGAGCAACATCACCTCAACAACAGCAGCAACAGGAAGCTGGGAGTTGTTAAGGCAATCATGGGATGTTTATACCCTGGGCCTATCACCTGTAGTAGCTCTTTTAAACAGAAGACCTAAACTCAATAAGAAAGTTTTAATTAAACCACACCTTTAAATACACATGATGATTCAACACAAAGATGTATAATTTAATTTGTTTCCAAAAATGTATGGGTATGAATTCAACCAAGATGACTTTTTGGGGAGGATGTGGAAGAAATGGTGTGGAGTTCAGCCATCATGCTGAACCATGATTTGAGCTAAATTTTATTTAGAACACAAACCGTATTTTGATATTCTAAATTAATACAGAAACCATGATTTAGAGCTGCATAAGGTTGCCAGGCCCCAGGTCTGGGTGGGGGTTCCCCTGCTTTTGTGGGCTCCAATTCACCCCCGGCCAGCTGGCTGGTGGGGGAAGCCCCACCCAAACCCCACCCCCAAGCATGACCACCCGCCCAGCCACTCCTCTCTCTCCCCTCCTGCCAGGTTTAAATGGCTTCAACTGAACAGTGGGGACTACATGGCCCGCTGATTAGCTGGAGGGCCCTTTAAATCTAGCAGCAGGGAGGGACAGGGTCGGTTGCAGACCACACGCTCAGCTCACAAAACGTTTTGGCTTGGCTGGAGGGCATGCCTCTCAAGTCATTCTCTCATCTCACTATTGGTCCCTAACCATCACCACCCTGGGGAAATGCAAATTTAA